GTGGAGTTCACATGGTAATTATCCTACATCACTGATGACTCTTCAGGTGATTGTAAAATCATTAAGATGATGCTCCAGCAGATGTTTGTGTCTAATTGCCTTATTAGCAGGGAGGATGGAGAGGAGTTGTGGTTTTGACGTTTGCATAAGCCTGCAGTGTAATTGATCCTCATCTGCATCAACACCACTTTGTTAAAGTTCCAGTAGTTTTATGCACACAACAGCATCCCAGCCATGGGTGTATAAAGAGAACTAGATGCAGCGGGGCCTTGTTTACTCCTTTGAAAGTTGCTCTGAGGTGCATGAAGCCTTAAAAAGTTTGACCTCCGAGTATAAAATGACCTGGATCTCCATGGGCCCACTGGGAAACTGCACTTACTTGTCCTCTAAGGCCTTTACACACCAAGCTGATTGTCGGTTGTCAGTCAGTTGGAGTGTTGGTTAGCGTCTGTTGCCCTACCCCTGCCACTCATGGGCTCATGTTGGCTTTTTTTCCGGCTGCTTCAGCATGTTAAGTTGCCGTTGGTGAATGAAATCACTCTCATTGGCAATTCAGTTCAGCACACAGGAAGAGAAACAGAAGTGAGGAAAGTAAACAAAGAGCTAAAGTCAAGGGGGCATGAGACCAAAACAAACGTGTTACATATGGTGAGATTATTTTTCTTTAGCCACTGAGCTCTTTAGCAGAAAAGTTTCCTGATGGTTTGTGTTTGTGCGCATAGTAAATATGCTTTGTTCTTTCAACATTGCATTGTGTTGTTAATATGCTAACTGGCTAACTCGCATCAAGACAGTCCTCCGGTCTCCCTTTTTGAATGGCAATTACAGATGAATGCCGTCTGCTGGTATGTAGAGCTATTTCCTCTTACACAGGTGCAGAATTGTTGTGCTGGTTGGTCGCCGGCTGCATCTGTCTTTTCAGATTGTATATGTATTGTTTACGACCTCAGTATGCTTCACACTAGCTCCCAAGCTGTGTCGTGCCTCATTGTCTAAAGGCAAAAGTGTTCTGTTCTGAATGGCCACACTCACCGGCTGCTCCTGTTATGTTCCTGATTGCATTCCCCTATTTCACTCCAAGAACTGTGTCTTGGCATGTCTTTGTAGTCTCTGCATGCTGTACTGCACAAATGGGGACAATGCCGCAAACTTTCTGCAAGTCTCTCCTCAAAGGATTCTTCATGTTGCACCTGGTTGTACATGAGAAAAGTTTAGAAAAGGAGAGCTTGAGAACCTCTGCCTACTTTTACACCTCCACACACCTGGCCGATCACTGTGTACGACAGGCATCGCTGTCAGATTGTCTATTTTGGAAAGTTACTCTACGATGGGAGGCATGAGATGCTTTTCGTGTATCTGACAAACACCTTTAAGAAGACTGAACCCTTACTTCTCCTAATCAGAGCTGCATCATTAGGCACTGTGTCAAAGTCGCCACTTTTGGGGTCTTGCCCCTCTGATAACAGCAGGCAGTTGTACATGGACAGCTCTTATCATGACTTCTTACCTTAACAGATAAAGCACTTAACTTAATTTGCCTCTCATTCACATTCAGGCTAACCGGTTCATCAGGAACAATTTGGCGACACTTTGGCATGAAGACAAGAAGAGCTGGGGATCGAACCACCAGCCGTGAAACTAATGGACGACCTGAATTATCTACTGTACGCCTGGCTGCACAAAAGCAACAGGTAGGAAGTAGCTCATGGTTCCTTGTGCTTTATCTCTCCTTGTGGACTGCAGTGTGTCCCACCCAGATTAGCATGTAGCCAGGGGGATCATCAGACCCCCCCACCCCTCCCACATAGGAGCAAGATGCATACACTCTATAGTTGTTTAGCCTCTTCGTTTTGTTTCTCACAGTAGTATTGTGTCTCTTTGAGATAACTTAGTGTCTTCTGTAGTTATTTTGTGTCTGATTTTAGTTTCTTTGCATCTCTTTGTTGTCATTTTGAATCTCTTCCTGCTCAGTACCATAGACTCTATATAAAGATGGACAACGCATCTCTCCTTCACCCCACTGTACAATAATAAAGCCAACATGTCCTTGACGCAACCACTGCCATCTAAAGATAAGATAAGATAGACTTTATTGTCCTGAAGGAAATCTGTCAAAAAAAAGTTCCACACACAGTCCCATTCTTATGCATAACTCTCTCTGCGTTGCTGCTGTAGCTGACCAGCACACCGAGAACCGACTCATCATAGTAACTTGATCGCACAATATTCTGTTTGTTGTGCTAACTTCAATATTTGTTTATTAGACCCACACATATTTATCCATATATCATAAATATCAGATTTTGATCCTCTGCCTGACCCTCTGTGTTCAAGGATATTCATTTATTTTCAAAGCTCAAGGCTATTTAAATATTCTGTATGATCACGCTATTGTTAATGTAAGCAGGGGATTTTAATACAAAGTGGTAACCACTGTATGTGAATGCATTAATGGGTCAGACAACATGATCTCATTTTTTCAGTCACTACCCAGAGCTTATGACCATAGGTTAAAGTTGGGATGTAGACTGACCAGTAAATCGAAAGCTTCGCCTTCCGGCCTCACCCTGACAGTCCGGTGCAGCGCCCGCATCACTACAGACGCCATGGTTGTGGTGTTAACGACCATGATGTCATTCCGTATCTAATAATACTGTCCAGCACTGCATTGTAGAATGTTAACATGATCTCTGATCTTGTGCTGGTGACGTCATTTGGAGCCAGAGTCTGCCCAGTTGTGATCGAGTTCCTGCCCATACACCCGTCCGACCAATTGAGAGCACTGCCATTGGTTAGGAGCACAACGATTGGCTCACACAGCTGTCAATCATGACATCAAACCACTTTTTTTTAACATCAAATTACTATTAATAACCAAGCTTATCAGAACTAAAGAAACACTTTAACAAACATCAGCGTGATAAGGACCAATTGAGATGACAGAAACCATCTTTGGGATGGGTTTTTAGTTTGGACCATGTCCTGTCTGCTAACATGGAGAGGGCGGGGCTTTTGACCTATACTGCAGCCAGCCACCAGGGGGTGATGAAGATGTTTTGGCTTCACTTTTAGGGAGCTGTTATTACTTCCATATTTGTATAAAGTCTATAATCAGTACGTGTTAATATGAGTGACTTTTTGTAGGTGAGAGCCTGTGCCCAGGGGGCCCTTGTAGTAATCTGTCCATACATCATACATGTGGCATTGGGAAGATGGATTTCTTATGTGGCTCACAGATACACACAGCGTACTTAGCCGAAACTTTCTTAAAGTGTATAAAATATGGATTTGTATCTGGGTGATATTGAACTTTCACCTTGTAACAAATGTCTCAACTGAAAGGCAACAGAAATAGCTGCAGTTTTTGGTTTAAGTTAGCAGTGTGCTACTAGTCTGAGAGGGACCAGAAGTATCATTCTTCAGTTGATAATATAAATTCCCAAACACTTCACATTTCACCAACAAAGACATTTCCAAACGCCATGTTGTGACTGCTGAAAAACAAAAAAGGCTACAGAGGTCAAGTCTCCCGCTAATTGAGGACTGCTCTCACAGTTTCGGGGGAATGCATCTCTCCGTCAGACTGAGTGAAATTCTGGTTGCCTGGCGGAGGTTATAGAGCAACATCTGCCAGGCCCGACCCGCCTCTGCTCCCTACCATCCCCCCTCCTGTCCAGTTCTGGATTAGAGATGGCCTAAGCCCAACCAACTGCATGCCGCTCTGCATGGATTAACTCTTAGGGAAGCTGCACTGCTGTCACACATTAACCTGCAATCACAAGTCTCTTGTGCAGAGATCACCCACAGCCAAGCTCTGGTGAGAGTCTGATACAAACACACTGTGAGGCGGTGGTGTGTTTCTGTGCACCCTGAGAGCAATATTCAGAGCGAGCTGTAGCCGGGCAAAGTTCAGAGGCAGCCAAATGCTAAAACAGAGACTCTTTCGCTGTTTCACTGATTTATCCTACTGAGGTTTGTAGAAATAAAAAATGATGCTGTTAGCAGCAGCTTTCATTTTGGCATTACATTTCCTACAGCGCTGCTGCAGAGTGGCATCTCATCTCTCCGTGAAAATGTTTGCTGGGAGCCAAAATGGTTTTCACAGGACGCAGAAATCTTGTTCAATCTCGTTGACTCGTTACTGCTCCAGTAGCTGTGCTGCATGTTATTAATTCCCATTATTATTCATTCACTCAAACCTGTTAGATTAAAGGAATGACATTCAGCAATGGCTTTCTCAAAGGAGCCTCCCCTCTGTGATGGAGACAGATATGAACACGCACACACACACACAGCCACACACACACACACACACACAGACACACGCATCTTTATGCTTTGGAAATTACCACAGACAGACACTGCGCTCACACAATTGGAACTTGCCTGTCTTGCCACCAGCCAACACATGAGCTTACAGATGCAGTCAGACTCCGCTGAGCGCAAAACTGCGACTAATGTCGCTTCACCAAGAAGCCATGAATCATTCAGCCCGGTGAGACTGATCGGCAGTACACACCGAGCACCCTGTAGACACTGGGGATATGAATGAGGCGCACATACACACCGGTTGACACACACATGCAGTCATTTGCTCCAATAAAACTGCACATATCATGCTTTCAGTTGGAGGAGAGCAGAGGAGGAGGAGGAGGGGGGGGGGAGATGTGTTCTTTGCAGCAGCAACAGTTGTCTGTCGACTGAGAGGGAAAGAGTTAGCTGCAGCACACACACACACGGGGACACGCATACACACACATACAGCAGGTGATTGGAGATAGAAGGAGATGGACGGGGGAGCCGAGAGAAGAAAAGGTGACAGATAAAGCCACAAAGCCACACAGCTGGAGGGATGCCTGGCAACCGGTGGCAAAAATGGAGATGCAGTAATAAGAGAGAGGGAGAGGGAGAACTAAAAGGGATAGACGCACACATGAGGACATGTTGGAAAACACCGTGGTAAACAGTAGGAGATGACAAGAAGGGAGATCATCACTCACTGGAGTCATCTGAGTCGTATCCCTCCACGTCGGGCTCCTCGTCCCTCTTGGTGGCCTGTAAGGAGGCGGAGGCTCCGGCACAAGCCCGGTCCGGTTTATCCTCATTGGAGCGGTCACTTTCGGCAGCGGCGGTGGCAGAGGTGGCGGCCGCGGAGCTGGAAAGGGTAGAGGCCACCAGTTGGTGGGGCACAGAAGGGGGGAGGCCCCGCGGGTAACGGGGGAAGTAGTCGGAGATCTGCTTGATGGGCTGGATGGGGCCAGGGCACACGTCAATGGCCATGTGCTCCTGGATGCTGATGGTGGGTTTCTCGCCTTTGCGTTGTGTCATGCATGCGGTCCAGCCCGGAGCCTACTCCCAAGACCAAAAAACTGAGAAAAGAAAAAAAAAAGAAGATAAACAGACCCACCCCCCTCGTCCTCCTCTCCCTCCTCTTGTTTCTCAGAAAGAGGTGGGTGTTGCTCTGGGTGGGTGCTGACGGGTGGACGGGTCCAGGTGAGCTGTGGATGTCACCACACTGGTCTACATGGAGATCTGGAGGCTGCTGCTGCTGCTGCGTCTTCCTGTGCTGTCCTCAGACCCAGACCATGCTGTCTGACAGCCTCACACACACTACTACCTACCCTCCCGCTCTCTCCTCTTCCTATACCCCCACACTCTGCCCACGTCTGCGCTGCCTATCTAAGAGAGAGAGAGAGAGAAAGAGAGAGAGAGTGGTGTGTGTGTGTGTGTGTGTGTGTGTGTGAGGGAGAGGGAAGGGATTAGAGAGGACGGAGGGAGGGATCAGCTGATGTCACTGCCTAGCAACCGAGCGGTAAACAGGAACCGTCGGCCGAGGTGCTTAATTATGATATTAACCCCATCCATCTGTCAGTGGGAGGGAAGATCCAGTGCCGTGCCAGACTCGTGTGTGTGCATGTGTGTGTACCTCTGGTGCTATGTTCACCTGCACAATGAGCCATGAGTCGATGCTTTGTGATTCACGTCCAGGATGTTTTTGTATCTGAGGACTTTTTAATTGCCAACATGCCAATCAACAATTTGAGTGAAGTGTCATCACATTTTTAAGGCCGTATATTTGCATTTTTTAAACACATCTATGATGAGCTTCGATCGTGGCCTCAAAACTCAGCACATGAACCTGCATAGTGTCTGTCCAAGCACGACCTGAGTCCGAACCACAGCAGCAGTTTTTGGCCCCAGCCTGATAAAAACCTGAATTTCCACTGTAAACATTCTTAAATATCTACATATTAAAACATTTATTACAAACTAAAGTCAACTAAAGCCTTTCAGTGCAGTAACGGACATTTGTGGCACAGACTACGTTCATAAATAGCTACTCCGAGTGGCAGTGCACACTTGGGCACAAAGTGGACCGTTCCAACACATTCTCACTCCCAACTCTTCATATACTGACACTGGTCAGTGGCCCTAAAAGTCAAATTATGACACTCTGGGGTGCCTCCAGCATCATGTTCAGGAAGAGCATGTCAATTTTCAGTAGTGAACTTGATGCAGTCTCTTTTCAAAATAAACTTAGACTGCAGGTAAAAACCTTTGTTCCCTTTTGGTACACTCGGTACAACACATAAGTATGGGGATTGCGTCCTCTCAAGACCAATCTGAGGAACCTTTCTCAAAATGCCTGTAAAGGCCAGTGAGACTGTTTCAGGCAAGGGAAGGCCCGTCTTCCCATAGAACTATAAATACCCTGCGCAGTCGCATTCCCTCCATCCTTTTGCACTTCACCTCGCAAAACCTGGTACCAGAAGAACCCTCGCTAGAGACTCAACTGTCCAACAGGAGGTGAGCTAGCTCCCTACCCAGGACGGGTCCATGTCATTGGTCCGACATCCCATTAGTCCGACGGTCCGCGGTGCTGAATGGCTTGATGGTGCGCTGTGACCGGCTCTGGGTCAGCTGGGAAAGGCTTGAGGCGAAGCAGGCTCACGGCTTATGTGTTTGTCACTTTCTTTTTCATTTTAACCCACACCATGATCTTTTCTTTACCCTAACCAAGTGGTTTTTGTGCCTAAACCTAACCAGACCTTAACCACAGGGCATCATGATGATTTCGGAACAACGGGACTTCGGAACAATGGGTTTAATATGGTCGGAACAATGGGATGTCGAACCAATGGGCTGTCGGACCAGTGGGCAGTTCCCCACAGGACATCCCTATCAAGAGGACACTCTCTGCCGATTAGCTCAGCTAACGGATATTTTTTTTAACACTGCTAACAAATTATTTTGGCTATTTCCACACCTGTTAAGCATTAGCTAACAGATTTACTTCCTTAGGTTTAGGCAACGTATCCACATAGAACGGTTTGTATGATATCCTACAAATTAGTGCCCCACAAATGACGTTTTGTGCTTTAACCTAAAATTATGGAGGTTAGGTTTAAGCAATTAAAATTACTGTGGTTAGGTTTAGGAATAGAAACACGGTGAGGACACACCTTAGAATGACTCAAAGTTCACACGGTCCCAAACATTTGTCTTGAGGGGAAAGTCTGCATTTTTGTGACCCATCCACCACCCCAACCTGCCTCCCCCTTACTACTGGATGTGTTACTTTTCATAGGAAAACTTAAAAGCAGTTTATGAGAACAGCCTGGTTTCGGCATTCGTCATTAAGTTAAGAAGAAAATATCATGGTTTGGCTTAAAGTAAGTACTATCATCACTTATGTAATGTAATGTTACATGACATGCATCACATTCGTCATGTGAAATACATCACTCCAGTAGCGTACTCCATGTACTAGCACTCTACGTTGTTGTTAAAATTACTTGATTGACTTTTGATTTCACATGGGAGACGAACAGCGGTCTCCCGGGTGAAAGTCTGGCCATCCACCTCCACTCCCACCCACCCTACGTAGACTTTGTGTCTCTTTATACCACAGCAGTCACTCAGATCATCTCATTCCGCTGCTAAAGGGACTCTCTGTGCATCGGTATCTGACACCAAGGGCCACTGACCAAGCATCAGTATTTAACAAGCTGGGAGTGAGACTGTGTTGACTGTTCATAAATTCAGGCAGCTGTTGGAATATACTGTTAAGCTCAGAGCTCCACAGTCTCAGAGCAGCAGAGTGTACTCTGGAGACGGAGCAGCACAGTGCCAAGTCCTGTTAAAGTGAAACTTAACTGTTTGTCAAGTCATTTGGAGATAAAATACTCTAACACCTTGCCACCAAAACTGGCATGAGCCCGACCTGATTTAACCCAGGAGAAACGTTTCCAATCGGGTTCTGGCAGAGACTCAAAGCTCTTGTGAAAGTCGCTGTCGACAGGGCCTCTCAAGGCAGAGTCTCCCCTTGGGCCCGGAAATGATGAATGCCACCCTCCCTGCTTCCTCACTTCTGTCATCACATCCTGATTTCTCTTCCACACCAATTACCCAGCAACATAACAAGCAACAGGAGCACCTTAATCTACCCTTGCGTTGATGCGCACCTGTCTGTTTAAATGCACAGACACATTTCCACTTCACCGTTTGCGATCGCGCCCTGATGTTATCGCACGTTTCTTAATTGCTCACCATCTGTTGCAATTTTTTTGTGGGTGTCAGTGGAAATCTGCGGCGCTGTACACTTTCACACTGGTCTAATGCACATATTGTCACATTTCACCACTGTACACAGACGTGGTTGATACTGAGACTGTTATAATTAACTGTGACACGGTGATGTCTTGTTAAAGCTGCACAACAGGTGAGACCTTCATGTAGAATTACACCTCTCCTGATGTCGTACATCGATGTCACTCGATCCATTAAACATCCAAAGACATTTGTACATTCAAAGAAGAATAACAAGGAAATGATAAAGTCCTTTCATCTTACAGAGCAAAGATGCACATGCAGCTTTTAACTCAAAATCCTAAATTCTCCCTCTAACATGCTAGCAAGTGCTCAACATTTTTCCTGTGACTCACATTGCATAACAAAAAGACTCACAGTCTCTCAGGAGAGTCCCTCCCTGCAGGTTTACCAATAACTCTAACCTCACCCATTCACAGAGCAAACATGTCTGCAGTGAAGAGATGATGCAGCACCCTCTTGTGTTAGCTGCCAGCAACAAATAAAGCTTTGTGGAATTGAAATTCAGAGGCTGCACTCATGCTAACAGGTGGTTTGATCAGTTTTATACTGTAATTTGACACAAGATGAAGAGGAGCGATGAAGGTTGAGCTCATGCAGGTGGAGCTTTTTTTCTATTCAGTCTATGCCACCTACATATTTTATTCTATATGTTCTAAACATGCAGGGATGCACAGAGTAAATCCTTATCTTTATGTGTAATCAACCAGCAAAGGATGACTAACATCACTGCCGTGGAAAGCCAGTCTTTAACCTCCAGAAAACGACTGGTGAATTCTGAACAGGTGGCCTCAATTAAATCCTCCTCCACTCTGAGGCATGGCATCCCCACAGGATACATGCTGAGGATTTCCTGCCAGTCATTAGAAGCTAGAGAATTCATTCAGACAACCAGGGAAACATCAGTGGAACAGTTTGTTTTGACAAATGGAGAAATCCCTGTTAAATCCAAAGACTGTAGTAAAATAGTATTTGTGCTTTGTATTTAGAAGCCTTAGATATTGTACACCTCTGTACACGTTCCCATCAGACAGATAAGGTGATGGTTCTCAAACTTTTGTCAATAATGTATTGTCTTTGAAATATTTTTGCAGCCAAGCTCCACCTGACCAAGGTTTACAATATTTGGTTGAAAAATAAACGCCTTTAGGTAAACCCATTCAAACATGTTCTTCCTGACAGTGACGGTATTCTGTTTTCGATTTCTTTCACAATGACATCAGTTTATTAGCTGGAGGCAAAACACGACTCTCCACCACAGGGCTGTAGGCTACATAGGTGTTGTCTTGTTGTGTTATTGCTCATGGCTCAAAACCAGCCGTCACTGCCTGTCAACAAAAACAAAGACAAGTATGGTTAAATGTGATAAGACAAAAGGACTGGACGGAGACGATCATCAAAAATGCTCACATGTGCAGCACACACTTCATATCAGGTCAGGGAAAAAGTATTTCCTGTTGTAGGGATGAATAACGTTATGTGTATTAAGTTATGTGTGTCAACCCTACACCTATCAGCCAAAACATTAAAACAACTGACAGGTTAAGTGAACAACACCGATCATCTTGTTCCGGGAAACTTCGGGTTCTGACATTCATGTGGATATCGCCAGACACGCTCCACCCACCTAAACACCAGTGCAGAGCAGGTACCCCACCTTATGGCAGCGGCACTCCCCAGTAGCATTGGCCCCCCCCAGCAGGACAATGCACCACTCCACGCCACAAAAACTGCTCAGGAGTGGCCCGAGGAACATGACAGAGACCTCAAGGCATTGACCTGGCCTCCAAATTCCCCAAATTCCAGTCTGATCAAACATCTGTGGGACATGTTGTTACCCCGCCTCACAACCCACAGGTCTCAAAAGATCTGAAGCCAACGCCCTGGTGCCAGACACCAAGGGACATCCTCCAGAGGTCCTGTGTCCATGCCCTAACAGTTCAGAGGCATGTCCAGTCCAAGGAGGACCCACCATGGATCGGTGGTACCTCTGTGGTACTGGCATGTCCCTCAATTATTCAATGTGTGTCTACATAGAAATAAATGGATTTGAGGCCGC